CACACGAATGCTACAAGAAGCCTGAGGGGGAGACGTCTGCTTTCTCGCTCCAATCTCCAGGGGAGTCCCCCAGGAGCCTGAGAAAGGGTAGCCCCCAGGGGCCGGCCCCCCCCCATGACCATGACCCAAGGCAGGGCCGGAGAAGTAGGGAAAGGGATCCGACGGCAAAAAAGCCCAAGACTGCTCCCCACCTTTCCTCAAACTGTATGGTGCAGACCTGCCACCCGGGCACCTTAGATTCTGACTTAGCTCATCTGCAGTGGAGCCTGAGGGCCAGCGATGCAGATGGTGCTGGTCCAGGAGCCCCAGTCTGGCGAATATCTAACTGATTCAAATGAAAGGCTGGACCATAATCCAAAGGAACACAGCCACATTCCTTCTAAGGATAAAAACACACCCTCATGTATAAGCCTTTCAAAGAAGAACAAGGAACATAAGGCACAGGTAGGAACAAGACCAGTGCCTGCACAACACTCCGTGTTACTTCTTCCCCCAGACTGTCAGATTTGTGTGCTTCAAGGTTATGGCTGAATTGGGTCCCCCTAAAATTCAGCTACTGAAGTCCTCATCCACAGTACCTCAGAACATAACTGTATTTGGAGACGGGGACTTTATGTAATGACACTAAAATGAAGCAGTTAGGGTGTAATATGACTGACGTCCTCGTAAAAAGAGAAGACTGGGACACACACAGTATGAGCAGCCGTGCAGGCAGGCACACTGAGAAAAGACCACATGAGGACACACGCCAAGAAGAGAGGCCTCGGGAGGAACCAACCCTGCCGTCACCTTCATCCTGGACTTGAGGCCTCCAGAGCTGTGAGCAGATAAAGTTCTGCTGTTTAAGCCCCCTGGTCTGTGATATTTCGTATGACAGCCTAGAGAGTTAATATAAAAGTCTTGGTTTGGGTTTTTGCTTCTTGATACCACTTTAATGAGGTTAAGTTTTCGCTGCTTGCCTGCCCAGTGAGAGGCAGAGTTCCAGAAGCTGGCTTACAGAATAATAGAGACAGTCCTAACCCAGACCCTGCTCCTATTTAGGGGGAGAAACCAAGGCCACCAACCTCAGATGATGATGGATGCTGTGACAGAGGCAAAGCCAAATGCTCTAAAGGCCCAAGGAGAACAAAATCATTCCAACTGGGAGGTGGGGTGGAAGTGTGAGCAGGGACAGAGCTTCCACAGGGATTCTGATGGGTCCAGAAAGCTGAAACATCTAGAATGCTGGAGCAACACAGGCAAAGGCCAAGAGTCACCAAGAGACCCGATGCGCAGGTGTGCGGGGACCAGCAAGACGTCTGGCAGGGCGGGTGCAATGGCGGGGGCCCAGGGGCAGGGAGAACTGTCAAAGTAAACAGAGAACTGAGGAGCTCACTACCTCTGGGAGTCTGAACTCTAATTTGCAGAAAATGAAGATTAATGAAATAAGGAAAGCAGGTTAAGGGCAAGAGAGTGGATATGCAGAGTCCATTGTGAAGGATAGTAAAACTCTCATTACCTAACTGCCTAAGAACAGCCTCCTCAAGATTAACATACTTTCTACCTTCATTAGCCACTTCCAAAAGAACTCTTAGAACTTTATTATCTCTTCCCCTGTTAACCTGGATCTAGGGAACAGGTTGCCATCCACCATGATATCCAAGCTAGGAACCAGAGTATGTGATGGTTGTGGGTAAGTGTCACAACCCAGTGAGTCAGAAAGAGAACTGAAGCCTGAGATCCAAGTTCCGCAGATCGAAGCCTGAGGCTCCGTCACTGCCACCACGGTGCCACCAGTCTGGCTGCAAATAGCTATCACCCTTTGTCAGAGCATGAATCTGGCTAGCAGCCTTCTGCTCTCCCTCCACCCCCACTCAGGAGGACCTTGGATCCCTCATCCAGAGCAAGGGAAGCAACAGGCCCAATGAAAAGAAAGGAACAAAGTTACTCCTTGGCTTGTGAGCATCCAGGATCCCAGCCTCTAGTGATTTCCAGGGAAATTAAGGAACTTCCAAGCGTAATTCACATGAATCTGACTTTAAGAGACCTTTGCCTTGTACACTGACTGAGAGTCCCATCCCTGCAGGAAAGGGGGCTCTCATTTACTCCCAAAGCACCTCCATGTGGCGTATGCCAATGAACTAATCTCGGGTCTCATCACTGACTGAGGAGATGCAAGCATACAGCACCGGCATCTCAACGCCAACAAAAACCAATGTGACGCCTGACGAGATGGGTTATGCCCCTCTCCTTAGTCCTCTCTTCAAGCAATAGCCATGTGGCTCCTCTGAAATGACTCGCCGATAAACTTGGACAAGAAAAAGAAACAAGGCAGACAGGTGTGGCACCAACAAACACTGAATCAGCCCTGGTCTCTCCCTTTATCCCCTGGATGTTATAACTCTCATCTGCCTGTTCCCCAAAGGACTCTCCTTGGATGTTCAGAAGTGGGGTTTGGAAAGGATGATAACAGGGAAACTGGCAGAGTCAACAGTTGGGTCTTGACAGTGAACATAATCCTGGGAACCTACTGGTTCACTGGGCCTGTCTCTACAAAATGTGCTAATTCGGTATAAGAGCAAGTTCCCACAGTTTAGCACAGGCATGTGCAGACTGAACTACTGATCTGAAAGCACGTTTGCATTTACACCCTGGCACCGCCTTATTGTGAGTAAAATATCCTTCTTTCCCCTTTGCTTTTTAGTTCAGTCAAGTGACTTGCTTTGGTCAATGTGATGCTAGCGAGCACGGCGCAAGCAGAAGCCTGAAACACACCTGCATGACTCGGCATGCCCGCCTGTACCTTGGCCAAGACCATGAGAAGAGCACGCCCCAGAAAACCAGCCGCTCCAAGAGGATGAGGGACATGTGGGGCAGACCCGGAACCCACCGACAGCCTGGAGCCAAGCCCAGCCAACTCCCAGCCAACCCCCAGCCAACCTGCACACGCGTGAGAGAAAACGTGGTTTTAAGCCACTGAGTTGGTGTGGGTTCTCTGCAGCATTATTAGAGCAATAGCTGATAAAGAACCATCTGACAACAGAAATAGGGCAAGGATTCCACAGGTTACCGCACAGATACAAACTCATCGAATAACACTCATTTTCCTCATCAATTTCCAAACGCTTTCAAAAACAGCGTTTGAGTAGCCGCCTTCTTTCCTTCACCTCAGCCCTCAGGCACCGTCTTCCAGTAAGAGAGGAAGACCGCCCCTAAAACAGCAAATATAAGCAGAAAATGACTACAGATTTAAAACACAAATACCAGCAGAGAAATCTAAAATGGGCTTGCAAGAGCGAGAGACAATTTGAAATTTGAAATAAAATTAGCCAAATAAAATTTGAAATATCATTAGCCTTTCTCATAATCTTTGACACCTAGCACACAACACATTTCCATTCTTCTCATCTGAATAGTTATAAAAAAATAAAAATAAAGATTTATGAATAATAGAATTGGAATTGGAGGAGAACTTAGCCTCAGGGCCCAAAAATCACCTTATGAAAAGGCCCACTGCCTCCTGTGCTAACAGATACTACATGCGCTAATGACTTTTCAAAGAGCTATCTCGTTTCTCTGTTCCTTAAACGGAACAGATTTCCGTCTTCTCTCTTTGCAAATTTACTGAGGTGAGTGTACATCGCGTCATGAAAGGTCAAACGACGTGGGCTTCCCAGGCAGGGGCTGTGGCACTGCTCCTTAGAGCTGATGCAGCTACCGGATGAAAACTACCCATGTCTTGGGGGTGCTTGCTCCACACCGGACTATGGTACTTGCAAATGCAAGTGAGGTCTTTTGCTCAGTCTCCTGAACAAAAATCTATTGACGTGGGAAATGCTGAAGAAGTACTTCAAAATAATATGACACTATCATCAGAATCAGGAGGCTCCCCTCCAGAAACCCTTACCTTCTGTAACGGGAAACATCATCTCTCAGACCATCACAACCCACCCCCACTGAGAAGCACAGCTCAACCTCCCACCTTGTGAGAAAGTCTTGTTAAGCCTCAAAGCAGGCCAAGCTGCCTAAATGGCACGTGGAGAACTTTACAGCATATGCTGCTGACCTCTTTCAGAGCTGTCAGGCACAAAACTACATGGCTGACCCAGGCCTTCAAGAGTTTGCCCCCATGAAACGGTTAAGTGGGTGTCCCATTTTTCATATATAGGGTAGAGTTCTGCCAAGACATGCAGCTAAACCTGGTCTCTCCAGCCTTACCTATGGTACAGGACATTTCACTCTTTCCAGAATACTTTGTCTGAATAGGCCTCAAAAACAAACCCAGGATTCAGTGGTCTCTGAATCCCCCTCCCTCATGTGTGAAGTCAGACACTATCAAAGCTTATATTCCGGTCCGAACCTCAAATGTCGTTGAGGTATTGACCCTCAATAGAGGACTCAGGTTTTCTGCCAACTCGGGAATAGCCGGAAACACGAAGAAGCGTGTATTTTGAAGCACAGAAAATGAAAATTGGAGGCCACTGGTGACATCCTTTCACAATTAGCATCGCCAAACATGCAGACCATCTCTGTCTAGCCCTTGAGACACACACACACAAATTCCAATAGGAAATTACTAGTTTCGTAATCTGAAATCTAGCCATGCTATGCACACACATTCTACAATACTGACACAAGACTTTTTTTATCCCTCCCCCCCATTTAACCTATCACTTTTACATTGGGTTTAACAAAAGCAGGAAAGCAAAGTGGATGCCCTTGAATACTAAGTGGAGTGTAATATGTGCTGAATCAAAAATGGAAAAACTCCAGCAAGTAAAAACAAACACCTTACATATCAGCAACCCCTCTGCATGTGAAAATACACACCTTTAATGTCTCATAGCTCTATTTCCTGTTTCCATTTCTTCAAAATTAAACCAGAACCCAAATCCCCCAAAAGTCACTGGTCTTACCTTAAGCAAAGCATGTAGTAGCCATATATCAGGTAGAAGGGAAAAAAAAGTTTTATCTATTTAAGCCAAGATAGTAAGGTTAAGGCACCATATTACAGTCCTTACTTTCAAAATATTTTGGGTTTCATTCCACTTATTTGTCCATTCCTTGGTCAATTCTTGAACCTAAAAGGAAAAGTACACATGTGTGATTGCTTCATTATCCATTATTGTGGTTTTCTTCTAGAAAGTTTCTAAACTCTTATAGCTTATGGAAGGATGTACGATATATATCTTTAATTACATAGTAATTTTGATCCCTGAAAGAACTATCACCAAATATAAATCAAATAAGCTGATCTCATTCTACAACCTACATTGTAGCAAAGGAAAGAACAGGAAAAAAAAAAAACTGTCAAGTTGCCTAGAGTTTTACAACAGTCTTTTTCATGGTATACTTAAGTGAAAGCTGCTTCCTTGGATATTAACTAAAAATTACAAGTTCAAGAATGGGAATGTCCCATTAAATGGGTTAATTTTTCCCGATTATACACTAGGTCCTAAAAAAATAGTGATTTGCTTTTCTTTCTAATTAGATGGGGTGATTAAATCACCTTGGATGCTGCAGTTTTCTTTAAGAGATAATCTGCTGTTTTAGCTCATTAATAGGACTTATAAATCTCATTCTATCTTAAAAAAGAAAAAAGGTAGCTCTTTAACTCTTTTAGTAAAAGCAAAAATCTTTTGATGACAATCAGCTTCTTTCCAGTCTGCTGTAACCTAGGGGAGAAAATATCCCCCCAATTGTTGAACACAGCACAGTTGGAAACCGCTCAAGTCTAATAAAAATATTTTGCTGGTTCCATAAAACTTTGTAAATGGTCCTAGTAAGTAATTCATTAAGAAGCAAACAGTGATATTAGATTGAGAGGTAGGAAAAAAAAAAAAATGTGTCCTGTAAAAATGAATATCCCTGAAGCTAAAACAGAGTGACTCCCCCCAGGGACGGGGTAGGATTGGACAGACAGATGACACTCGTCCTTTCAAAGCCTTCCTCCTTCCCTACTTTAGCAGTTCTGCCACTTCTCCGCTCCCATCCCATCTGAACGTACTGCTCTTGCAGCTGAGACATTAGCTTATTTAACCAGGCCAAAGTGCATGCCGGGAATACACCTGCTTGCACTCTCACTGCCAACAGCAAGACACCCCCCACACGCCACTGACTATATAGCAACTGGAGGAGGTGCTCATGTCAGACACCTCCCCGACAGAAAGCCTTTGTTACTGACAAGTGGGGAAACTGAAGGGACAGCTTACCGGAGAGGAAAACCAAACCACACCTAACCCACCTATACTCAATTGTTCGGCAGTCATTCATTTTACTCCATTTAGCCCAAATAGGGCTGACTAAGTTAAAAGAATACCGCTTCATTTTCACTAGTTATTAAAATCAAAATCAATCATCTTCTTGGTTAAAACCACATAAATGAAAGAAACAGGACCGACCCTCTCTAGTTTTGCTTTTTGTGTGTTTTTAACGGTTTGCAAAGACTGTCCTGAGCTGTCTGGAACTGCACATTCACTCCAGTCTTTCGTCTCATCCCTTGAGTGATGGCAACTTCAGGCTCTAATGATGGCAGTTAAAGCCACCTGGCTATCAGGGCGTGTTTTGGAAAAGCTTTCAGAGAGGCAATGTTCCGAGAGGGAATGTTCTGCCTTTTCTCCCTACAGAAGAAGGAAGGACTGGTATATTGAATTTACCAATTTATAATCATCGGTTCACAGATTCTCACTGGCAATTTATCGGACAAACACGGCATTCAATAATAAATGCTTCTGCATTTCACCAAAAGGTGTGTTCTCCCTGAAGAAATGACAAGCCAATCAATCCTTTTCCAATTCAATCAAACCATTCTAGCTTTAAACAAATTGTTAAGTATGCCTTGGGTTTATTTTACTATGGATTTTAAAGCAAATAATCTTCATTTACAAAATAGACCAATGAGTGATACCACCTCTAGCAAATGACCAGGTGATAAGATTTATAGCTAAACAGACAGCAAACGATTGTAAAAGGTCAGCAGAAAACTAGATTAAAACCTAGAAATTGTTATGAACGAGATACGTAGTCATTTCTGTCACAGCATGTGTAATGCATTCAAATTAAGATGTTTATTGCTTTCTATTAACTTGCTAGGTATTCCTGAAAACTATTACTAAGAAACAATATAAGACTATATCCATTTCGAAGCACTCAAAATTAGAATTTGAAGCACTAAAATACAAAATTTCATCAGAAAAATAGGGAGTAAGAAACTAATGTTTTTACTCATGCTATTATCAGCAAATTCATCAGCATAATTACCCAGGGAAGTGTCAACAAGTTCCTAACTACAAGCCAATTTATATTTTCAGTATTGTGTACTCTTCAAAGAGCTTTACCAATAGAATCCAATTTTCTTTCTCAATCTGCTGTAACCATTCAGCACAGTGAACAAAATCCAACCCAAAAAATGTTCTCAGTGCCTGTTTTTCTTTCACAGACGACTCTTTTTTTAAAAAACAAAAATAGTACAGAACCAGGTCAGCCATGAAACTGGCTTTCAGAAAGAGCCAGCATACCAGCACTCAACGTCAGCCCACGACATCTCCAGAGCCACTCTCTCTCTGGTCACTCACTGCCACTCCCTCTCCCTGCTTCAGCTCTCCCTAGCTTAAGGGAAACTAAGCATCCACGTGGAGTATTCAGAGATTCCCCCAGGGCTGCACTTCCCACTGGAAACAAAGTAAAGGGATGACAAAAAGACTAAACAGTGGCCATTCTTCAGCTACGGTTAAGCTGTGGGGACCACCGCTGTCTCATGAATGTTGAACATGGCCTCCCTCGACTCGGGGCTCCTGTGTGCTCTGAAGTACCGAGCAGCCTCCTGGCCTGCGTGTGAATTTCAGTTGCAGTAACCATCATGTACCAGACAATCCCATTTAATAAGTCACAGAGGACACGATGAGATACACCAAGAGTCAACCATTGTGCTTCTTTAAAAATGGGGTGAGGCAGAGGGAGGGTTCAGTGAAATGAAGAAGGAAAATGAGTTTAAACAGCAAGTATTAAAAAGCGTGCACTTAAAATAACAGTGAAAAGATTTTTAAAAAATAACGAGTCAGGCATCACTTACTCTTGCTTCATTCTGCTGAAGTTTTTCCTCCATACTTAAGGCTGTGGGGGAGTCTAAGAGGGCAATCTACAATTTAAGCCATAAAAGAGAAAAGTAATTAGTAAACAGCAATAATCTACAGGAAGGATTTGTCCATGATTAATAAATTATCAAAAAGAGCCAAATAACTATTAAGCAAAGGTGAAAAGTACTGTCCCACAACCACCCCAAAAGTGTCAGTCATCACTGAGTCTTTAATCAATAGGGTACATATCTCATAATATTCAAAACCATAGCATCCTAGCAAACCCACATTTGCAATACAAATCAGTAAAGCAAAGGAAAAAGACAAACATGTTACATACTGACATTTTACCAAAATCAAACACGGTCTAAATCCCTAAATCTGAAAGAATTCATCTGTTCTGAATACGCACAATGTACAAAATTCAAAAAGAAGCATAAGTCTTGCTCAATCACAGGCTTCTGAGAATTATACATGTTGATACATGCAAATGAAATTTAGTTTCACTGCTGGATTATACTCCATGTGTGGTATGGCTACCCATTTCTTTATGCGCGTTGCAAAGGTATAAAGATTGACACGTGAATGACAAACACCAAAATCTGGTTGGAACTGGGACAAGACACAGAAGGGGAAGCACAGGGAGCCAGGTAGGACACAGAGGGGCTCTGACTGTATTCGGAACTCATAATCTGAGAGGTAGGGACACAGTGCTCCCTAGGATGTCATCAGAAATAAAAGAAAGGGGTCATATAAAAGGCACAGCATGTGGAGGGGGTGGGGGTGTGAGGACTTCTGGGTGGCTCAGTTGGTTAAACATCCCACTGTGGCTCAGGTCATGATCTCGCAGTTTGTGAGTTCGAGCCCCGCATCAGGCTCTGGGCTGACAGCCTGGAGCCTGGAGCCTGGAGCCTGCTTCAGATTCTGTGTCTCCCTCTCTCTCTCTCTCTCTCTCTCTCTCTCTCTCTGCCCATCTCCCACTTGTGCTCTGGCTCTCTCTCAAAAATAAATAAACATTAAAAAAAAAAAACTTTCAAAGATACAGCAGAGGGGACATAGTCAATGATATTTTAATAGCGTTGTGTGGTGACAGACGGTAGCTACACTTGTGAGCAGAACATCACAAGATGTTGAATCACTATGCTGTACACCTGAAACTGTGCATCAGCTATACTCAAGTAAAAAATTTAAAAAACAAAAAACAGAGAGGGTCTTCCTCCCTCCCCATCCACAGGCAACCACTTTTTCCCAATATGCTGTGTAAACCTGAAGTCATTCTGGTCATATGCACACATATTTTTGTTGTTTTTTAAACAGCACAAACACTAGCAGAACACTATTCTGAACACTGCCATTTTCGCTCAACAATATATTCTGGAGAAAATTCAGTACAAATAAAACCACTTCGTTCTTTTTAACAATTCCAATTCACCATTCAGTATTCCATATATGTATACATATATATATATACATATATGTATACAATATTTGAATATTCAAATCATATATCCATATGTATGAATATTCCATAATTTATGTCAGCACTTTCCTAGTAATGGAAATGCAGGGTTTCTTTCTAATCTTCTGTTTTACCAGCAATGCTACAAACAGCAATCCTATACCACGGTCTACCATGTACATAGGTGTATCGATAAATTCCTCCAAAGGAATTTGTGAGTCATTTATACGTATGTTTTTTTTTTTTTTAACTGCCAACTTCTCCTCCTCAGAGACTGTAGCATTTTTTTTCATTATTATTTACATTTCAATTTCTATTCAAATGAATGCAACAGCCATAAGTGGTCTTCGTTGGCTCAGTTAAACTTTCAGGCTGACAAGATTACCATGGGCCACACTCCACATGGACAGGACAGCAAGGTCCTCATGAAGTCTCTGTACCGGTCCCCACAGCTGTCAGGAGCTACCATCTTTAGCCCTCTCGAAGGACTGAGATTGAAACACGCACCTAGGGGGCTCACCTTGGCCTAGAAGCCCCACACCCTGCCAGAGGCAGCATCTCTTGTTCAGGCATACCCTCTAGGGTCCACAAGAGACATCCTCAGTTACAAGAGTCACTGCACTCAGGGAAACCCAAACCTATGGCTTTCCACCCACACTTACAGTTTATATATAGTCCATCGTAATCCAGATGCAATTCTCCTATTAGGGGCCATTTTTATCATTAGAGATATTGTCTGGTGATAAAGATGGCCTCCCACTGTTACCCAGATTACGGAGAATAAAGCCAACAAGATAAGCACTAGTAAAGGAAATTCATTCATAGCAGAAAAAAAGGAGTTTTGCTAACACGTTACTACAGCACATTATTGCAGCACCTAGCATGCCGTCTTGCACACAGATGGTACTCGACAAATAGTTGCCAGTGAAGAAATGCAGGTGGCAGGCTTTATTATGCCTGCACAGTTTATATGTGGCTGACAATTTTCACAGCAATTAGTGACCCCTTTATAACATGGCTAATTTCACCGACTCCGCTATAGGGATTTTTCATCTATACTCAAAGCTGAAACATTCCTACCACATTGTCAACTCAGCAGATAATCACCGACTGAACACATGCGGGTGGGCGGGCTATCATGACCACTAGGCCTTTTGGTAAACCCACCTAAGTCCTCTTAAAGGAAATATCTGGTCAAACTAAACCATTTTCAATTAAATTACTGTTTGCAAGGTGTCCATTTAGAAGAAAGACGTTCGGGACTAAATAATACTCAGATGAAGTTCATGTGTTAAACCAATGGTAACACGGCATCACAACTGCAGCAGCATCAACTCCACCAACGACATGTATAAGCACCTGTCGCCTCCCACCCGGGCCAATATACTATGCAATTAAGCATTTTGATCTTTGCCCATCTGATAGGTTTTCTAAGAAATGTGAGGTATAATTTACATGCAGCAAAATACACAGCTTAATGACTATGTGTCCATATCCGTATATTTTCATCTCACTGTTCTTAATATTTGCATTTACCGTATTTCAAGGGACATTGAATATTTTTTCATAGACTTAGAAACCATTTGAAACTTTTTCCTATGAACTGTGCTCATATTCTTTATTCACTTTTCAGTCAGCTTGTGATCTTTTCCTCATTTTTTTTTTTTAATAGAAGCAATTTTGGGGGCACCTGGATGGCTCAGTCGGTTGAGTGTCAGGTCATGATCTCGCAGTTTGTGGGTTCAAGCCCTGCATCGACTTTACCGCTATTAGCACAGAGCCCGCTTTGGATCCTCTGCCCCGTTCCTCTCTGCCTCTCCCCCACTCACTTGCTCTCTCAAAAATAAATAAAAATATTACAAAAAAAAAAAAAAGACCTTTTCACAATAAGGAAACTTGTGGCACAAGTTGGTGATCTATTTCTCCTGGTTTGTACTGATTAGAGCAAATTTTCATGGTGTTATGTAAATATGCTACGTCCTTCCTTACCTTGGTCTATGTGAGCTCTCATGAAATGAGACAGAGGATTACAGCTCCCCATGGCAAATATGTTTGGCTCTGTCTCCTGCTATTTCCTATAGTTTTTTGGGTTTTTTTCTTTAAAAAAGTTGACACATTTGGTTTTAATTATGAATTACACTCTTTACTATAATAAAGTGCTTTTTTGTTTGTTTTAGAGAAAGAGCACATGAATGAGGGGGAGGGGGAAGGGAAGGGGAAGGGGGAGGGAGAAAATATCAAGCAGGCTCCACATTCAGCACAGAGCCCAAACCAGGGCTAGATCCTATGACCCTGAGATTATGACCTGAGCTGAAATCAAGACTCGGACATTCAACCTACTGAGCCACCCAGGCGCCCCATAAAGTGCTTTTTTAAGGTATGCATAATATATATAAAATGTAAAAACAACATAATGCTGTTTTGTACTTCTTCCTTTCCCCTCTGAATTACCTAGTAGGCCTGTGTTCATTCATACAAATATCATGTAACAGTTTCCGTCTGTGACCCTCCTGGAGATGTGTCTTAAAAGTTTGCACATGATGACATTTCTATTATCTAGCTATCATTTAAAGTTTCTCTGTGACTCCAGCTATACAGATGAGAAATTCATCCTATTTCCATTTTAGTGTCCTCCTTTGCTTCCCGACTTTTCTGGCTTATTTCATTTCTTTATTGTTTAATTTTCTCATCTCCAGATATATCCAAGAGAAAGAGTTCACAGACATTCTCTCTGTCAGCTTTGAAGCAGAATTCTGAAAACATGCTTTAAATATAACAAAAGAGAACACTTGAAAGGACAAGCGATCAAAATACTCAACTTCATTGATCATCTGAGAAGTGCAAACTAAATCCTTCTGTAACATAACAGTGCATCCGTCAGACGGTCACAATGAAAACTGGACAGAACCCAGTGTGGACAAGGGCCTGCAGCAGCGAGATCGGGCACTTTCGTGTGCTCATGGTAGATGTAAACCAGTACAGGCACTGTAAAAACTGTCTGGCTAAAACTGAGCATATGTACACCTTCCGACCCACCAACTCCACTCTTAAATATAAACCTAACAGAAACGCGTCGGTACATTCGCTAAATGACATGCAGAAGAAAGTCAGCAACAGCACTTATAGCCCCATAAAGGAAACTCCCCAAATGCCCATCAAAATTACACTGGATAAATGAGTTGGGACACACTTGTGTGATGGAATACAATATAGCAGTGAGAATGAACGGATCTACAACTACATGCAACACCATGGATCAATCTCACAAACACGACATTGAATGAAAGAAATGAGACCAAGAGTATATACTACATGATTCCATTTACATAAAGAACAAAAATAGGCAACACTAAAACCTAATCTATGCCCTCAGAAGTCAGGATAATAGTTACTCTTGACAGAAATGGCAGGCAGCACCTGGAAAAGGAATATGAAGGGGGTCTTCCAGGATGCTGGTAATTTATGTTCCTTGATAGGGACGCAGGTTAGATCGGTGGATCCGGCTTGCGAAAATTCAATAATCTGTACACTTACAATATGTAGTTTCCCTGTACATAAATAACTCTTAAATACAGAGTTCATATATATGTATATATACAAACAACTACACATATCTGTGTATTTCTCTATAGTAGGAGAAACAAATACATGTTATATTCTTGTGCTTTATTTACTTTGTACTTTTGAAATTCTGATGCATTTGACATTTTGCACTGGCAAATACAAAAACTTGTTAAAAGGAGTTGATTTTTATTTAGCTGCCCTTAGCCAAATAATGGGACTTTGATTTGAATAACCATTTCAATGAACCATGGCAGCATTTGGAATATTGTAGGAATAGAGCAATGTTACCAGAAAAAAATTATACAGAGATTTTTAATGGGTACTTAAGAACACCTGCTTATTTTACTGAGCATCACAAATTTAATTAATTTAGGATAAGCCTGTACTGTCCCACAACAATTTATAGTTTCATAGTGTGATAAATTATTTTAAATTGGACTCCTGTTTTTATTATAACGTATGAAGTTAACCAAAGAATTTTATCTTCAGTGTGCTCTAAAATAGACTTAACTATCTCTTCCATCCTCACCCTCACCCACAAAAATACTCCTTCAATTACAGCAGCAGCCCTCGGTCACGAAAGAAGATAAAAGGCAACTGGCTCACACAATACGTCTCAAGACATCCCTCAGACAGAATATGGAAAACTTTTAATAAATTAAACTTTTCTGTCTGTATGATAAGGCTTCCTTCAAGGGTTTCCTCAGGTTCATTTAAAAAGGCTCATCTTTCTTTTCCTTCATTGCCGCAACTTAGTAAATCATTAAGTACAACAAGTCGCACCAATAATCGTCCAAATACTTCCCTTCACATAGAATAGTGTGGGTGATCCTATCAAATCATCCTTAAGTATTCACTTTAGATAAATAAAATTTTTATGACACTGAAAAAAAGATCCCATAGGGCGCCTGGGTGTCTAAGTTGGTTAAGTGTTTGACTTTAGCCTAGGACATGATCTCGCCATTCCTCAGTTCGAGCCCCGCGTCAGGCTCTGTGCTGACAGCTCAGAGCCTAGAGCCCTGTTTCAGATTCTGTGTCTCCCTTTCTCTCTGCTCCTTCCCTACTCATTCTCATTCTCTCTCTCTCTCTCTCTCTCTCTCAAAAATTAAGAAACAAACAACAACAAAAGAAAAGAAAAAAAGATCCCAATAGCATGGTATACAAATTAAAATGACTATCATGTCCTAAGTCAGGGGAGCCTGATAATATCATATACAGCTGGACTATTCATTCTGGCAACTTGCCTTCACACACAGGAAAGGTCCACATCAAAAAGTAAAATATATGTGGAATGTTTTGTTTTGTTTTGTTTTGTTTTGTTTTGTTTTGTTTTGTTTTGTTTTGTTTTAGAGAGAGAACACGGGCCAGTGGGGTAAGGGCAGAGGGAGAGAGAAAGAATCTTAAGCAGGTTCCACGCTCAGTGCAGAGCCTGATGTGGGGCTGGATCCCACAATCCTGGGATCATGACCTGAGCAGAAATCAAGAGTCGGTTGCTCAACCACCCGACTGAGTCACCCAGGTGCCTCTGTGTGGAGATATTTTTAAGTGCAATGAAGAATTCCTATTCAAATGCTGTCTGCCATCGGACGGGAATAAACTGTCAGGTACATTTCAGGATGCAGGAAACTCAGTGAGGTTTTCATTCTGCCAATAGTTTTATGGGTCAAACCACTTATGGTATGTCAAGGGCTTCAAGGGCCATACATTTCTAGATGAAAAGCTGCTCTAGAAAGGGCACTCTGCATCTAAAGAAAAGCATTTTTTTTTTTTTTTCAAATAATACACTTAAGACATTCATGTATGGGTTAGGAAAATGGGAAGAAATGTATCTCTATTTATTTCTAACTCAAATCTAAGTCCAATATTTTAAAAAGCTATCCCTGATTTTCTTTCAAGGGTGGACTTTCTTTACAACAGTATCTAAAACCCATCAGAACCTAAGTCACACTATTCATTAAAGAACGTAACTCTGTGTGCACACTACACAGATAAGCAAGTTTACTGTGAAAAAACAAGGACAAAGGCCCTTCACTGGAATCCCAAAACATCCCGGGGTGAAGCCATTTGGACAGCCAAGCAAGGCCTCAAGGACATCATCTCAGCCAGTTACACATGTCACTGTATCACCATAACCACCTCTGTAATGGGCAATACAAAATAGATTCAGAAAGGTCTTCAAACAAGTCTTTCATTCTGTCAAAGTACATTTTCAAACCATAAAATGCATGGGTAGAATTTTAAACCTTACTCCAAGCACCTCAATTTCCTTCTACTAATGGAGATTATGCGGCTAATCCTATTGCATGCTAAATTTCCATCCATAATTGATAACTATTAGATACTTAATCATTTCAGGCTTCGTGGATGAAATCTTACACACAGAGCCCATAATGAATGCAAAGGCCAAGGAGAAGGTAATGTAAAGGAGACTGGCTAACTCATTCAAAGCTTTACCTAGCACTTATTTACTCAAATCAATACAACGAGTGCGATAATTGTCTCATTAAGATCTAGAAATAGATGTCACTACTCAAAGAAAATTATCCATAAATCTCAGAAAAACCCAACCTGATTCCCTTGAGCAAGCAGCGTTTTCAGTCTGGCTATTTCAGCACGCAGCTCACGGATGAGTTTGACGTTGGCGTCCTCATTAATAGTAGGCTTGTTGATGATGTTTTTGGCTCTATTTGCATAGCGAAGAGTACTTAGGGTTTCTCCATAATTGACATCAGCAGGTGATATGGCTGTGAAGAATGAATTCAAAAAATAATTTATCCAGCACTCCGTGTTTCATTTAACACAAAGTTGGTTTGTAATTTAAAAGTCAGATTAACCCCGGGTCATTGGATAGACTAAATATTCATTGCCATGGTAATGAATATTAAAAATTATCTAAGATTTATAGGAAAGGTGCTCACTATACCAAATTAAATGTCATTTTGCTCCTCTTAAGTCTAGAATCAGCTAGCTATCTAACCAACTCTAAAATGAGATATGAGACTTTCCACCGTGCTTTAAGTAAGGAGTTTTCTCTGTTGAAAATATAGGAAGAAGATTTTAAGACTATTTGTACTTCTCAATACTACATAGAAATTAAAATACATTTAAAAGTTATGGCAAAGTCTACCACCTGCAAAAATCCATGGCATTACTACTTTTCAAAAGAGTCAGTAGATCAGTGAATTCTTTTCCTCTAAAGCTTTGGTTAACCACCCCCCTGAACCCCCACCACAGCCTTCAGGGTTCAGGTAACTAGATAGTTACCTGTATCTGGAGTACATACCCTAGGTTAGATCCCTTTTCTCTACCATTAACGCATGGCCTGGGCAATGGGGGAGACACAGAGACAAGAAGGGAAGAGGAGAAAAGGCAAAAGAAAGTGGGGTTAAAAGGTTTTGAGTTCTTCCAAGCAACTGTCTCCCCTTTGTACATCTTTTTCTGTTACACGTCTTCCAGTGAGTGAAAATGCAGGAGCATTTGCACAACACATGGCAAGTTTATCTAACTAGGAAACAGGAAAGAGAGTTAATAATATGATAGTGTAGACAGGGATCACAGCGATTTTCTTCAAGATAGAAAAACTATTATCTTTTTTAAGATTTAAAAACAAAAAGGCACTACTTCCTAACGAGATGCTTTAAACTTACACATCTACAGGTAGTTCACATAAAACACTATATGCTGAGGACAAGAACTTGAAATTCTTACTGGCGATCATGATGGTTTTAGAGTTCCCGCCAAGGCTATCTTTCAACAGCCAAGTCAAAACAGAATCTCTGTAAGGCACAAAAACTTGTTTCTTCTTCACAAGAGGGTTTGCCGCGTCCTGAGATAAATCGGCTGCACGAAGGAAGAAGAAAAAGAAGAAGAAGAAAAAAAAAAAAGAGTAAAGTTTTTTCTCTAATTTGGCTTCAGAAAACCTTGAGGCTATCCTCTCAGACTATAACACAAACATTATACATAATTGCTTTGTGTTAATACAGTACCACGAAGAGTAAGAGGGGCAGGGGACAAGCAGAAACCCACCTAAGGCAGAAATGACATTTCCCAGAGTCACGAGGGATTTGTTAATATTCCCCCCTTCCTTCAGTCTGACCCCAGTGGCACCGGTGGCATCCGCTCGCTCACTTCCAGCAAGATCGACTAAGTGGATCTTACTAACGGTTTCAGACGGCATTTCAGAATCAAATTTTGCCTGTAGCAAAATATAAAAGCAAAATTGAAGAGGTGTAAAGAGCCCTGATGTTGTCTGTGATACAAATTCTAATTATTTTCCACTTCTCACTGTGATCTCTCAGGGTAGGGTTTGGGGTTTTTTTATTGTTTGTTTTTAATTTTGTTGTTTCGTTGGCCTTCTTACTGGTTATAGAAACTTCCAAATGAAACTGAATACACCAGAAGTCTACCATATGTAATTCTTAAACTTTCTGAAGATATCTGTTCCATTACTCAAATCACTCGGTCATTCTCAACAAAGGCTTACTAAGTCTGACTGTAGTAGAATAGGACACAAGTCACTGTGGGCACTCAACAAAGAAAATAGAAGTAAATAAATAAGTAGTTTTGTTCTCATCTAGAGTCTTCAGCATTCCAAGCACAATGGCTCTCCAAAATACGATAAATGTAGACAGTTGTTAAAAGACCATTTGACCATTATTCAATGTCAAAACTTGTTTCACAAAGTATAAAACACTGAAAACCTTAGTGTATTCCTTGCTTCTGGATTCTACCAAAATCTTACCTTCCCAATGACTTTTAACCTGCATTTAACAGTCTGAGCCAAAATGCCAAAAAGAAATTACCATATTTTGATAGAAATGTAAGCCTCTTAGAAACCAGAGGTGGCCATATCCTAATTCACATTAACCAGAAAGAAGGAGAAAATCCAAAAAACTACAGTAAATCATAAGCAAAGATGTAACAAAAGGTAAAGATGTGGAGCATTTATTACGAGTTGTTCTGACTGATTTTTGAGAATTTTTTTATTTTCTTGGTCTGGGATTCCCCTCCTGAATAAAATACTATTTTTTGTATCTGATATGTTCAATGGCTAACATAGGCCAGGACATCCCCAAACTCCTAACACACGCTCAAGTCCCAAGAGGACCCTACGTGTTTGCATTCATCTGTTCTACTGGCCTAGGTCTTAAACTATTTCCCTTCAGTAATTCCACACACAGTCACAACACACCTCACCTCGTAATCAGAATAGTTCTTACACTGGTACCTAAAAACGTTGGTTGCCTTTTAATATCATTCAAATAATCATAATCAACATTGTGGGGTGAGTGCCATGGAGCGATAATGTACCACAATGAGTTACTCACCTTGGCCTCCAGCTGGTCTGACTTGCAATCCATTATCTCCCAGAGAGCTCACAACACTGAAAACTTTTGCTTAATTATGCAAAAAGCAAGTTTTTTCTGTCTAGAACAGGGCTGAAGCCTGCTAACTATTTCTTGAGGGTACACATCTGGATATTTCAAACGACCGTGCCTGTAACCACGGAGAAACTGCACACAACACATGTTCGTCTCTAATTAACAAGGAGATGACAGGCCGTCACCTTTGCCTGCTGCTGCTCCTGGTTCAACAATGATTGGTCCTCAGCTGGGGCTAATCACCAAGTAAAGACCTCGAGGATGGAGCCAGCCGGCCCCCCAGCTGCCCTCACCTGAGTGAACTTGATGGTGAAGATGGCATGAGACCTGCTACTGACGTCGTTCATCCCAGTCGCTGCTGTGGTTCGGTTGATATTTCCTGCATCCATGAGTTCTTCCACATCACTGTAATTCTGTACTAAATGTTTGGATAAATCTGGGAAAAAAGCAGAGGGCGGGGGGCTGAAGAAATCTCCCTAATATACGATAAACAGAATAAGAAATTTACCCCTAGGAAATAACACACAACTGTACAAATTTGCTGACTTGTTTAAAGATCTTGCTTGTTCCTACGGTGTGCCAGTTTATAACACAGACTCGGGGATCAAGTCCTACTCTGCTGCTTACCAGTGGACTTACATGGTTATGCACAAGTCACTTAACCTCGCTGAGCCCCAGTCACCTCTGATAATGTGTACCTATCACATAGGGTATTTATGATAAACGTTAGCTATTATCATCGACCTCATGAGCGTTAGTTATAGCAAGGGAAACATAAACACTAGCTTCGTGCAAAACCCAAGAGCATTTTTTTTAATCCTTTAAAAAACGTGTCATTCATTTTCTGGGAACATTCATATGTTTCTAAAATCAAAAGCTATGAAAGATATACTGTGTAAAGGGTTTCCCACCACCCATCCTAAACCCACTGCTCACTTCCCTGTGTCAGACAACCCAATGTAATTAGTTTTTCCATACTCTTCTAAAAATAACCCATAGATATGCAGGCAATTACATACACGGGTGTGTGTGTGTGTGTGTGTGTAATTCCATTTGTATCCTGCTTTTTTCTATGTAATAATATACTGAAGAATATTCTGTATCAGTTAAGGTGATTCTTCACTCATTTGTGTGACTGCAAAGTGTTCAACTGTATGCATGCGCCATAACCAATTTTAACCAGTCTCCTGTTGAAACTATAGACGTTGTTTACATTCTATTCGCAATTACAAGTCACGCGGATACAAATAATCTTGTACATAGGTCTTTTCAGATATGTGTGAATATTTCTGCACAAAAAAAAAATTCTTAAGAGGCAGAAGTTCTGGATCAAAGCACATTTGAAATTTTGGTGGATATTGTAAACACCGTTCTCCATAGAAGGCAATTTACACCCAGCAGCAGCAATGGATGAGACTGTCTATCGCCCAACACTGTCTTAGGCTTACTTACATCTGCCAGGGATAGGTAAGAAATGGTATCTTGAAGACTTTTTTATTTTGCTTTTCTCTGATTATGAGTGAGGCTAAGCATTCTTTCCTTCATTTAAAAATCATCCATATTCCCATTTCTGTGAAGTCTATTCACATCTTTTGTTCATTTGTCTACTTGGTTGTTGAGTCTGTTGTTATTGCGTTATGGAATCTCTTTATTATTGGGAAATTAGTCCTTTGTCTGGAACTTGGATGGAAAAGATTTTTCCCACTTTTCAAGTTGTCTTTTTACCTTGCTGACTGTATTTCTGCCAAATTTTTATTCTGTTCTGTTTGTTTGTTTTTTACCATTTCAAATTTAACACTTAGTTTATGGTTTCTAGGTTTTAAGTAAATTTTTAAAAGACTTCCTTTCTGCAAATTTCTGAAAGAAAAAATTAACCCACAGTTTCTTGTAGCCATTTTATTGGCTATTGAAAGTAGTCACTTTCAATATTAAAATATTTGTTCCATTTGCCATTTATCCTGGTACAAAAGCTGAGTTCTGATGCCAATTTACTTTTTTTTCTCCCAGACAGCTTAACAACCAATATTTGTCCAATGTTTGAACATCAGATTTATTAGACACTAAATCCCCATAAGTATCTACATCATATTCTGGATGTTTTCCTCTGTCTGATTATTCTGTCTCCTCATAAGCCAGCTTTATAATATGTTTTAACATCTGATAAGACAATTAAAGGGAAGCATGAAGGCACAGTTAGCCTAAAAGCTATTAACAATAATAGCTATTCTATGCTCCACAAAACAAATACATAGTTATACACCTTACTTTGGGCATAAAAGGCAAAATTTTCATTGGAAATTTAATAAAATGCAGATGGGGCCTGTTAATACACCTGATGTCACCAGGTGAAAAAGACAACCAAAACAGGAACACCTTTAAGCCCATGACCAGTTCTCAGCCTTGCCTCCAACGAGACGCAAATGCAGGACAACAGCCACAGGAAAGCACATGTCTGTGATTCCTACAGGCCAGCCACAACTCAACGCCTATGCCAGGAAGTTGAGAGGAGCCAGCCTATTCATAAATAATTAGCAGGGGCCAGCCACCATTACTTGTGACGTTCCTCACAAGTGTCTGTGACGCAGCTAGTGTGTCACAATACAAATGCCAAGGACCGCAGCACAGGAAACTCTGTCAACGCTCTTCTCTCAAGGTGAGAGGTCTTATAATCTCCATACAGTCATAAGTCACCATTAAGGTCAGTAAAAATATACCGCTAAGACACAATGCCACTTAAAGAGGCAGCCTACAGGGTTGGTTATCTTGCCTGAGAACAGAAAAACAAGTTTCCAGAGAGTTCTTATTCTGGAAGCCAGAGGAAATCTATTGGCAAGCCCACAAAATCAGTGAATGCTCAATGAAGTATAAATTCTTACTAGTGATAGCTGTAGTGACGACACATGTCATCTTTGCTATAATAAAATGCCAAAGATAAATCTTTTGCATATCGCCATTATCTCACATTTCCCCCTGAAACTACTGTTGTTACGGAAATTCCCAAGAAGAACAGAGCTGTGAGATACTTGCTCTTACCCTCCACATAAGGTCCTTCTTTTGGATGCTCTCGGACTCTTAAATTGAAGGTTTTGGATGACTTCCGCCTAAGTAGATCTCGCACACGTTCATTATAAATTTCTAAGTAGCTAAAAATTTTAAACAGGATTTAATTCAGTGAAATAATTTCAGACAGTAATAACAACAAAACGACAACAATAACAACCGCAACATACCTTTATAGACAGTAACCATATATCTATCAGGTACCATGCTTAGCACTTTAAGTGGATTACTTCATTTAATCCCTACAACAGTCCACAAGTAGGTACTGCTATTATCCCCATTTTACAGGCTACATAGTGGAGGTGTAGAGTGTTTTAAACAACTGTTCAAGGCTACACAGCCACTGAGAGGTTGGGCCAGCCATAAAGACCTCTGATCGCCGTGTCTGTCCTCAAACCCAATGATGAGACTGGTTCCCCACAAAAGTTTTATTTCAAGGAGGAAAAACACTCCTCATCCATCCAGATTTATTTTAAGATTAGGTGTACAGTGATCCTACCAACACAAAGAATTACACAAACCTTATTTAGCTAAAAGAATAAGGCAAGTGAATGGGATACACACTTCTAAGTCGAAAGCTCGCTCTCTTTCAGATAAACATCCTAGGTTAGAGTTTCTGACTTAGAGGGATTTTTTTTTTTTTTTTTTTTTTTTTTTTTTTTTTTTTTTTTTTTTTTTGCCAGCCTCCCAAATCCTAATCCAAATTGCACCCAAGAAAGTCACTGAAAACAGACGTGTTTTAAGCTTTACTTCCAGCTCCGATAGTACAGGAGGGGAAAAGGCAGCCTCTCCCTTCAGGAATCCGCAGGCCTTATCTTTTATCTACTGCTCAAGCCTAGAGAGAAGATACAACCAAGCTCACACATTCAGTTACTCAGGCCACGGGCCCTACCTGACTTCAGTTCGAAAAGATGCTTCATCCCATCTGGTGGTTTCATTTATTTGACTGAAGAGCCCTTCACAAATCCGAGGTATTAAGCCAGAATCGCCCTGCAGTAGAAGAGGAATGTCACAGCTGTCACTTGAAATAAAAGCAACTGATGGCTGAATCTGCAATTTGCCAGAGTGGATTCAGACTCAAGGGGCCTGCATGTCAACCCCAGGCCTACCACTGCAGGCCCCTGACACACCATCTACCCCCTCGGGACTGCTTCCCATCCTCTGAAATGAAAGGATGAAGCTTTCTAGCTTCTACATGCTGGGTCTAGGGTAATGTACAGCTATCAGCTGTTAATCAGTTGAATCCTGGCTTGAAAACAGACCTATTCCTTAACTTTTAAACAAGATGGTCTCCAGCTGCAGAATAAATATGGAAAAGCTCATAAGGCCAAATGACCAAAGAAGGTGAAATATATGCTGGGCAGAAAAGAAAAATACCAATGAAATCTTCGTAAGCACTCAAAGTAGCTGATAAGTCTTAAAATTTAGGTGACAGGACCACATTAAAACATGTAGTGTGTCCCTCCTTTGATGCACTAATCCCTGCACTGGCCTTCCTAGACAGATTTTAATAACATCATATTACTTATACAATGTGGGCATCTTCAGGAATATTCATGTTTCAGCCAGCATTAACAAGCGACAAACCTCAGAACGATGCTAAAGATGAAGCCAAGTATTCTTGCCAGGAAACCAAAACTTCAGAGCTTCAGTGTTTCCCTCCAAAGACCCTCTCTATCTTCACCCAACATTCCCCCAACCCCAGCAAAAAAATAAAAGAATTAGTGGGGTGCCTGGATGGCTCAGTCAGTTGATCATCCGACTTCAGCTCAGGTCATGATCTCACGGTTTGTGGGTTCGTGAGTTCGAGCCCCACATCAGGCTCTGTGCTGACTGCTCAGAGCCTGGAGCCTGCTTCGGATTCTGTATCTCCCTCTCTCTCTGCCCCTCCCCTGCCCATGCTCTGTCTCTCTCTCTCTCAAA